TCCTAACCGTGCTAGAAGAATGAACGCCGGCGGCCACAGCTTCGTTATCATTCTCCTCCTCTATATCTATATAATCCTCCTCCTCCTCCTCCGCCTCCGTCTCCGCCTCCTTAAATCCCGCGTCTTTCCCATCTCCCTCAGCAGGACGGCTCATCTCCTCCGCAGCAGGGAAACTTTCCTCTTTATGGCGGTTGAAGCGGCGGCGGCGGCGGCCGGAGGGACGTGATAGGGGCTCACCGGATTCCTCAACGGCGTCGAGGATTTGGTGTATGAGATGGCGGTTAGGGGATGCGTCCCAGCGAGCCCAAAAGCTCTTGTAACAGCCGAAGCAACCGCAGCCGAGTTCCGGTGGGTGCTGGCGTGTATTCTTCTTTCCGGCGACTCTGTCCTGTCCGGCGATTGCGCCTCCGGAAAGAAGGTAGGCGAGCACTTCTTTCTCTTCCGGAGAGAGGGCCGCTGCTACGGCAAGGATAGCGGCTGGGAGGGCGGCGAGGAGGTCGAATGGGGAAGGAGGTGGAGGTGAAGGGTGAATCTTCTTTCCTTTTCCGTTGTAGAGCTTCTTCATCCCTGTTTTTTTTCTCTCTCTCTCTCCCTTTCTCCCTTTCTTGTTCTCTTAAATTCTGTAGAATTTCTGATTATTTGTGGCGTGGAATCAGAAAAGTGGAAGAAGACGATAATGGATTTATATGCAGAACGGAATCCAATTCTCTGTCAGAAACAATAAATACTTTTTTTTAATTAAAAAATTTGTTCATGTACCCAGTCAAATATATATATGGAACAAAGGCGGTGCGGCCCGGTCAGAGGAGACACGTGTGAAATATATTTATATATTTATAAATTAATTGCGAAAAATAATTGTAGAATAAAAAAAAAAGATTTTTCCTTATGTAGAAGCCCATTAATAATTTCGAAAATAGAGAAAATATTGGCCATATTTTTCATAAGGAGAAACAGTTGTTCTACAGGACAGCTTGTACATGAAACTAGGCAAGTAATGACATTGACAACTGTGAAACTCTCACTTAATAGGCTGAATATCAGGAAATTAATATGTTGTAAAGAAGGAAAGTGAATAATAAAAATATAAATGTGATATTTTAATTTGAAAAAAGATTTATGTAAAGATATACTTATTAAAATAAGTTAAAATTAAGCTCAAAACTTATAGATATATTTTAAGAATTATGCTATTTTAATTACTTATGTATTACACCAATCTTAAAATGTATTCAAAGATGGAGGATTATTATTAGAATATACATCTACTCATGTATTTAAGCGTACTGTTTCTATCTAGATAGTTTTCTGGCTTCTTTGTAATTATGTTAAATCTGTTCACCTGTATCTCTATATAAGAGTAGGAGGTGACGTTGTATAGGAGATAGTTTTTGATAAGATTACTGCAAGCTACATCTTTCTTGTTCTGCAATGTCTTCTTCCCTGCAATCCTAGTTTCTACATGGTATCAGGAATAGGCTTACGATCCTAAGCCATGAGCGATTCTGCTTCATCTCGCCTTCAAGATCGAAGTGCGTCCTCTGTCGCCGATGAATCAACGATTCCGGCTAACCTAAAATTCGTGGTTTCAAATCTTCGAAACCTCGTCACTTCTCCTCTCGCTCCGGACAACTTCCTCATTTGGAAATCTCAAATTCTCAAAACCTTAAGAGCAAATGGCTTTCTTCAATTTCTTGATCCTAATGATCTACCTCCAACCAAATTCTTGCAAAATTCCGATGGCTCCTCGTCCATCAATCCCAGCTATACCCAATGGCTGCTAATGGATCAAAATCTCTCTGCTTCTATATGCGCTACTATCTCATCGTCTATTCTCCCATATGTCATCTCGTTAGAATCCACTGCTCAAATCTGGATCGCCCTGGAGACACGGTTTCAAGCAACAAACCGTTCAAAGATCATCCAGCTGAAAAATGCACTTCACAACGTTGCGCTCAAGAACAACTCCATGACCGTCTATCTCTCGGAGATCAAGGCGATCGTTGATCAAATAGCTGCAGCGGGTTCTTCCGTGGATCAAGAAGATATCATTCATTATATCTTAAATGGTCTGCCGCAACAATACCAATCGTTCAAGACTACGATACGTACCACCTCCTTGTCTTTGACGCTGGATCAACTCTATCCTCTACTGCTCAGTGAGGAAATTAATCTTGCGTCTGATGCCGCGCGTTACTCCTCGTCTCACGATCCCAATCTGGCGCTGTTTACAAGCAGGGGCAGAGGTCGTAGACCAAGAAACAAGAATGACAACGGTTCAGCTAACATTACTCGTGTACCTGAACAACAGCAGCTCTCGATGGGAAGCAGACCTAAATCAAACACAGGAATTCTTTGTCAAATCTGTTACAAAAAGGGTCATTCGGCCCAAACTTGTTGGCACCGTTTGAACCCGCAATACGTTCCCTCCAGCAAGAACACAGCTACGGCTCTCGTTGCAAGCGCTGATCCTCAAGACTCCTCTTGGTACTTGGATTCGGGAGCTTCAGCTCACCTTACCAACACATTGGAGACCATGTCGATCGCTCAACCTTATCTCGGTCACGACAACATCACGGTTGGTGATGGCAATTCGGTAAACATTGCAAATACCGGGGCGGGCATTCTCCCGACCCCTACTCGTAAGCTGC